TATGGGGTTTTCTTACGTGGGGGTCCTCTCGGGAATCATAAGAGGATCCTGGAGGCTATTACTAGGGATCATAAAAGGAACATTTTCTCAACTGCCTCGGACTCTTTCTATTGCCAGGTACTGAGTCACAGGAAGACCTACCATGCTTGCTTGAAACGCAGGTGAAGCATCATCATCTTTTCGGCAGCCCATGAAGCTTTATGACGGAATCCCATGCAGGAAACCTCTCCGGCATCATCCATACCGAAACCCCAAACCCCTTGAACCCTGAACCCCACACCCCTTAAGCCTGGAATTCTGAAACCCTAAACCCCCAAATCCCTGCACCCTGAACTGCTTAACCCGGAACCCCAAACCCCTGAACTCAAAGCCCTCAACCCCCAAACCGCCCTAACAGTGCTTTCACCAAAGAATGGGGCTTCCCCATACATAATAACTCCATTCATTTCCTTAGGAGCAACCCAGTTCAGGTGCGAGTGGTGGATCGGGCCCTTCTATGGCGTTGTCCCGCAGCTCTTCTGAAATTAGGGTTAAGGGTTGAGGGTTTAGGCCTTCGGAGACTGTTTGGCTTGCTAATTGAAGCTCATGACGGGTTTCCTCTAAAGGGGTTGCAGAGCCTATATAGCGGTTATATGCGTAGGGTTAAGTGATCACAAATGAACCAAACGAAATGGAAGCTGGGGCTGTAACCTGAATAACGAAAGCCTATCATTGCGTTTGCATCCATGCTAGGGTAGCTTGTTTCAAGTAAGCCCTCAACCCTACACCCCAAACTCTAACAGCAACGAAGAAGAAGGCTTTGTGGGGGGTTTGGGAGCTAACCCAGGTGCATATGCGGATCAACGTACACGAGGGTTCCTACAGATTGCTGTTAGTCTAAACCCTAAAGCCGAAACTCGAGTTTTTTGTAGCATTTTCCGTGGAGGAGTTGGCTCGGCTGAGGTGCAAGATTGAAGGGATAGCGGGTGGAGGTCTAAACCCATAAGCCCTTAACCCCGAGCTGCCTTATGCGTTCGGTGCTTAAGGTTGGATGGCCGCTGTGGCTTGCATGAGAGTTTGGTACTTTTCGTCGTCATCGTCGTCGTTGTCGTCATCGCATAATTATCCTCCTCATCATCATCATCACCATCATCATTACCAGTACTATTGGTAGAGTAGGAGGGGCTGCTGCCGCGACTGCTGCTGCTACTCCTCAGGCGTCTGCTAGTTTGACAGCTTGAAGATACAGAGCAGGGAGGCCACAGCCCGTCAAGAATCAAGCGGTTCAGGAGAGCCCAAAGTTTATAGTCCCCCTTAAGTAGATAGAATATGGGGTGTGCGGCGATCTTATTCTAATACACCCAAAGCCATATTCTATCTACTTTAGGGGGACTAGGTACGGATATTGAGCTAAGTGAGCCAACTTTAGCATTTATGCTTGGATAGTTGAGGAGTGCACTTGAAGTTGTTCTTTGTGCCTGCTATGACCAAGTTTTGTCTGCCTGCAGAAGCTGCTGATTCAAGGGTTTTGAGTCTAAGGGTGCATATTTTTGGGAGGCTTCAGCCGACAAAAATTGAAGTAACGAGCTGTCGTTCATATTCCTGGAATCTAGCCACAGAAGCAATCTCGGGCGGGAAAGACCTGACTTGGTCTCCCTTTCAGCAGCATTTTTCAGGCCCTAAACCCTCTAGACCTGAAACCCTAAACCCCAGATCCTAAATCCGGAGCCCTAAACCCTGAATACTAAACGGGACAAACGCTCGACAAAAAATCCTAAACGGATGGCCAGCAGCTTGGCCTGCTAGAGAGTGTTGGCTGCGCACTTACACTCGGTTTAGGGTTTAGGGTTTCAGGTTTAGGGTTTAGAGTTGCGGGTTTGAGGTTTAAGGGGTTTAGGGTTTAGGGTTTTGGGTCAGAGTAACATGGAAGCCGAAAGGGTGCACTATGGCAGCTAACCCCTTCACACCTATTCGAAACACACACCCACCCCTAACATTAATTGTGCCCTCAAACACACAAGGTCTCTTATGAGGGCATCGTCAAGCCTAGGGTTGGGGGATGCTTAATACTATTCTTAGTAGCATGAATGGATTGTAGTTCCTTTTCCAGGGCCACTGAGGCATGGTAAATCTTCAAAGCCCAAGCCGTGCCGAAAAGCACTATTCCAGGAACAGCTATAGCATCGCGCACATGAAGATCCACCATCGTTGGCATAACGATGTGGATGACGTGCACCCAGTGCTGCAATTGATTCAAGCCTAATCTGTAGTATACGGACCCCCCCCCCAACACTTAAAAAGTACGTCGAATTTTTGGAAACCATATAGCCTTTTGCAAGTTGTATAGTGCCAGGCAGTTCTGACAGCCTAAATCTTTCACAGTATATTGTACGAGGGCTTCAAGACAAGGACCATTGGTTGGAATCCCGGGTGAGATTGAACTAAATCCTGAACCCTAACCCTCATTTTGCCTCAGTCCCAGCGCACGCTTTTAGCTGTACGGGCGGGGCCGATCTTATATATTCGCCCCAACACCCTGCACACCAAGTGCGATGAACATGAACCTCTGCAGGCAGCCTGGTAGATGTCAGGGGGACTTGGTAAGTGGGCTATAAATAATGGGGATAATTAGGGTTGCTATATGGGTTAAAGGGGTTATGAACCTACTTACTAAGTCCCCCTGACCCTCCAAGTAGTCCGTATAAAAGCGCACCTTGTAGTGTGAAAGCGGGCACTCGCCCGTCTGGAACCTACCTTCCCAAGTTGGCAGTCTTGATGAGGGTTTAGGGTTTAGGGTTTAGGGTTTAGGAACCCCAAGTGGTAGTTTCCCAAAATAGGGGGACCCCCAATATAGACCCAAATTTTCTATAGTCCTTATCATAGGGACCCCCAAAAAGGTACCCCTAATTTTGCGAAACCCCAAGTAAAGCCAGACGGTTCTCAGGCACACAAATCTTGATTTGGACCGGACGAAGTTGTCATCGCGACTTGGCTTAGGAGCAGGCTGCCAGGGACTCATGGTTCCGTAGCGCAAGGCCCTCTAGGGAAAAAAACATACCAGACTTAGGAAAACAGCCCCCCCCCATGGAGAGACATAGGTACAAGGTTTAGGGTTTAGGGCTTAGGGTTTAAGGATCGTAACTTTTAACCTCCAACAACAGAGAGGTCTGTGAAGAGTCCTTTTCCACATGCTCTTGGTCCCCACAGAAAAGAATTTGGTGAGTTTTTGGATATCAGTATTACTCTTCTTAGTGTTTCAACGATCTGTAATCAGTTTGGTTGAAGTCCCAATCAGATCATGAAGCGCCTACACCAACGTTGGAGGTTTACGTACATCCTGCATTAGTTTCAGATAGCCACGGCAGAGCTCGGCAGACCGATCGTATCGGATCATCCTCTTCGACTTTCTGGGGTCTATGTACATTGCAGGAAATCAGATAGATAGAGGGTTACATAGGGTTACGTAGTGTTATATAGGGTTATACAGGGGTTATATAGGGTTATACGTAACATCCCCAAGATTACAAACTCTACGCCTTAATCCCGGCACCTACAACCGTTTCATTCACCACACCTGCCCTCATCCGACCGCTTCAGACTTTTTAGCATCCACCTTGAAGCTGGGAGTGGGGGGCTCTGCAACGCTGACCATCCTCACCCTGGAGAAGACCGCATAGTCATGGCATAGTCCGAAATTCTAATCCCTTACAAGCCTCACGTCCCTTTAAGGCCCCGCATGAAGCCCCAAATTGCTGGCCGGTGTGGTCTTACATCTTGAGCTCCCCGTCTGGCAAGGTTCTTCATGTACGTCCCACGGTTCAGTTTGTGCCTTGGCCCCTCACTGCCAGGTTGTTCAGGTTGCAAACGGATTCGACTTGATAGCCTGCTTCCGGTTTCGGGTTAGATCCTAGACCCTAAATCCTAAAGGGTGCAGGGATTTGTGGTGCGTACCGTCGCGCTCCAATCGAGACACGGCGTTTCAGGGTTCATGGCCCCAGCTTTGAGTTCGAGGAGGACTCTAATGTGCGATCCTGAATAGTGTGATCCCCCCCAACAAAAAGGGGGGCCTGTACTATAAACAACTTGGGGGGGTCTGGGGAGTCCTATGGCTCCTGCTAAAATCAAGACTCGAAGGAAGACCTTGGGTATTGCCCCCACTCAGGAACAGTTGGATAATATTTCTACTATAATTATATACAGCCCTATACCAGTACTAATGGTCTGGACTGTTGCTGGGTGGGGGCAGTACCCAAGGTAGACCTTCGGCTTCGGCTTCTAGGGGATTCCTAAGGACTTGCTCAGTTTAGCTTTAAAGGGAATAGGAAAAGGCCTGGCCTTGGAAACCTACTAAAATCAGTTGCAATCCAACAAAAACCCTGGAAAACATTTTTGGAAAACCAATAAAATCAATTTGAAATCGCATAACAACAATTAAGAACAAATTCGAAGGGCCTCGCCAGCAACCCAGCCAAAAAATCCTTTACATAATTGACCCGCGGCCCCAAATCTTTCACATTATTGAAGATCAGGGGCTCTGCTTGGCTACCCCCTTTGGAATTTGATTGTCTAGCCTGTTCGAGTACGCGGCTTAATAAGAATCAATTGTTTTGTTAGCATCAGATGTCAGATTCCACGAGTAGTAGAGTAGAACCTGGCCTTTTGTTGAAAGCCCAGGCCTTGAATGATCTCACAAATATCCCGGCCAAAAGCCCTTTACATTGTTGACCCACCCGGGATTGTTTAGGGAGTATGTAGCGTAAATTGGGAGTATATTGGGGGTTATATGAGGGTGATATACAGTGGCACAGCAGACGATCCCTAAACCCTAAACTCTAAATAGTACTTGTAAGTGGCTTGATAGCCCCTATAACCAATATAGTCGCCCTAGTTATCCCCATTATAGACCCACTTACTAAACCCTAAACCCTAAACCCCAAACCCTAAACCCCAAACCGTAAACCCTAAACCCCAAACCCATGTACCAAGGCCCCTGACCTTTCAAGCAACCCTGTAGGTACTGGATGGGCATCAGCCCTGTGGCGCTGCTTGCGAAGCGCCAGGTGCCGGGCCTTGAAGAAGGGTCTTGCCTGGGGGTTTGGGGTCTGTTTAGGGGTTTAGGGGTTTAGGGTTTAGGGTTTAGGGTTATTGGGGTTTAGGGTTAAGAATTAGGGGTCTAGGGTTTGGGGTTCTGGAATTCGGTGTATAGGAATTAAAGGTCTGGGGGCCCAAAGCACCTTTTATCCTGGGGCCCATGGTCTTCTAGTACATGAAGGTCATGCAGGCGATTTAACATCAAAGGTTTGTTGGGATATATGAGCACTTAAGGAGGAGGAGCGGCATTTGCCCTTAAGGACCTTAGACAACTAAGAACCTCTTCACCAGCATGGAAGTCCCATAGAGGCATTTGTTGCACTGCGAGGCTTCCTTTTCAGGTTTTATGCTTGCTTGGGGCAGATTTCTCCTCCTGTATGCTTCAGCAGCTACACTTTTTCCCAAGTTCAATGAGTTTATGAGCGCTGCTGCTCCCAAGGCCTGTACAGCCCCAGAATGTCTTGCAAACTTAATTATAAGAAGTTTCCAGTGGGACGTCAAAATGATGGCCTCTGTTTGGGTCCCCGCTACAATGCAGCCCATGCTTTTTTAGGTATATCAAAGGGTGCCACAGTTGTGAGAATCTCCCATAAACCCCAACACTCCAGGAGTGGGTTCTCGTGCGGCAGATGCTGTATGGAATGGTGGCCTACTATGGGCTGACGTGCCTGCGATGAACTTGCTGGTGTTTATGGCTTCTATTCACTCCCAGATAAAGGCTCAAGTGTGACTTTTGCTGACGGGTGCCGAGGCTAGGGATTTGGGGTGCTCCAGGGTTTAACGTTGAGGGTTTACGGTTTGATATTTCGGGTTTCAAGGGTTTGGGCATTCAGGTTTTGTGCTTTGGGATTTCAGGTTAAGGGGCTTGGTGGTTGGAATTATTTCAGGATAAATGATGAAGAAGTTCATGGTTCAGAGGGTGTTAATCTAGGTGTTAGAGGTCGGGACGGGGGCCGGAGGTTCGCGATGTTGGATTTGTTGCTTGCATATGGCAAGTTGTCAGCATTATGGTCCCCTTCTAGGTAAGAATAGGGACATACTAAATAAGCGACCCGAAAATCCACCATACGGAATGGAGAATCAAATGGCAACGCAGAATGGAACAGGAAATTGTAAATCGAGTTTCCAGGCATGTATGGAGTTTAGGCTTAAGATTTTTCTTGCCTTTGGTGGTAGGGAGTGGAAGAGCAGGAAAGAAAATGGACATGATCATACCCGTGAGAATTATTTAGAAGCTATGATAGGGATCAATTGCTCCATTCCTCTCTAGCAACCAGCAAGTGGAGTTACTTTCTTTTCAGTGCTGGCAGCAGGTGTAAGACACTGCATGTAGGCTCTGAGATTTTGGGGCGAGTGCCCGTATCTACAGCACGCTACGTCGCGTGAGGAAATCAGATTTCTTTCAGACAAGTAGGCTCAGTAGCAACGCATGATGCTTATTCGTGGCTGTTTTGTGTAGTTTTGCAGTACAACAGGTCCGTGCTGTCAGTGTACCGTCCATACCATCCCAGGCCTCACTGCCCCAAAAGAATCAAGAGAAAGGGAAAAGTCGCAACATGCCAGGCGCAGTAAAGCTAAACACATCTCATGCGCAGCTGCAATGTTGTGCTCCTCTATTCCTTTTTTTCCCTCAATAGGGGTACCCAATCTAGACCCTCTACTATACCCCTTATTATAGGGACCGCCAGAACCCTAATTTTGCGAAACTCTCATCTCTGTCTCAACCGAAAGATGGAGGCCCCAGAGCTAAAAGACCCCAGAAGCGCTAGATGCCTTGGAACCGCAGACGAATCAGGGATTTGTTGCTTGTTATATTGGGATAATGGAAAATTAAATGGAAACTACTATCTATGGTTTAGGATTTAGGGTTTAGGGTTGTGCATGTCTATGCCACTCCTCGACCTAGGTCTAGGGTTCTGGGTTGGAGGTTACAGTTAGTAATAGTAACACGATTAGTAATAGCAGCAGTAACAGTGACAGTGACAGTGACAGTGACAGTGACAGTACCAGTAACAGTAACAGCAACAGTAACAGTTAAGGGTATCAAGGCGTAGGGCTGATTGGGAACCCCACCTCTTCTGAGATTTCTGAGCTTTGCAGGACTTGTACTATGGCACGCAAGAACAGGCTGCACATGAACATTGCGCGAAACCTTACTAAACCCAAAGCGGCAAAGGGCCAAAGGGCTGCTCCCCTAAGCTCGGCAGGAAATGGAGCATGCAAAGTCCTACGTCCTAAGTTCATCTCCGTAGAGCCACTTAAAGCTCGTTTTTAAACCAGAGCTAGCGGCTTCATTTATACCGGTTCGCAAAGTTTCAAGACCCAAGTTGGAAACCTTAAACTCTATGCCCCCAGACCCTAAAGCCCCCAACCCTGCCCCTTGAAGACTAGGCTGCTGCTTTTCCTCTGGAGCCCCACGCTCCTGAGCTGTGCTAGTTGTTGATATTGATATGATTATTTCCATGATCTCGGGGTTTCGGCGCTTGCGGCGGAGTTCAGGGTTTAGGGTCTAGGATTTAGGATGTTTTTCTCTTGGAGTCCCAGGACTGGCTTGGCAGATGGGTCCAGAAACCAATCTGCTATTGCGGACCTTTGGTGTTTTTGAGGGTCGTTTGCTATGCTGAACATGAAGCCCCCGCATGAAGAAGATCTTCGCTTCAACGGGAATGTGGAAGTTGCATTCCCGAAGCCTTGAACTTCAAGCCTTAAAGCCCAAATCGGAAACCCCAGAACCCCCTCCCCCACTAGCATCGCTACAGGATTGAAGTCCGGGGCCATGACAAAAAATTAAAAAGACTTCTCAAGGGATGTAGCTGGGAGCCCTTAGGGATCTCAGGGGTGTATAGGGACTACGGCGGGATTTGGGGGCCTAAGGAAGCACACCACGCGGACATGATATGCCCACGCCGAATTGCCCGAACCTGCCCCAATACCCACAAATAGAGCATCGGGTAGGGCGTGACGCGTGCACCTTAAGGGCTGTGCACATCATCTTCTGCACCCCAAAGTGAATAAAACAATGGCCCAGGCCCACGCAAAAGGCTCAAATCACCATTATTCTGCATACATGGCGGGTTCAGGGAACCATTGTCCCTATATCTAACCCATATATATCCACTATAAAACCCTACATAATCCCTATAAAGCCCCTATATAATCCCGATAATATGAGGGGCCGCGGAGAACCGAAGCCAGGACCTGAAACCCTGGAAGAAGCCAAGGTTCTGCATGGTCTACTGGGTCTTCTGCCACCTGGAAGGCTCCACCAGACCTTTAGGGTTTAGGGTTTA